GGAGCGCGATGCATGATCTTTGTTGCGATGAGAATGAATGCTAAATTTCCTATTTATATCGCTGTATGGGAAAGTCGATCGGATATTGCCAATGAGATTCGGTGCACTTTCAGGTTCCGAATAAAATGGAATAATGAAATCAAACGATTCGAAACTACTCAAATCACATTTTTTAAATCAATGTTAAAATAAATGTTTTATTTTCAGTTTTGTCCAGATTCAAATCATTGATCTTGTGAATTTATAAAACTGAAATAGTTCCAGAGTTGAAGATATTAGTTTTAGTAGTTTGTTTGATGAATTAGATTGAAGTGAACTTGACTTGAAATACATGTAGTAACTCGATCTTTCCAAATTACATCTAGTTTGCTTTTATTGAGTCACTGGGAAACTAGTACGTATAAGCGCAGCCCATCGCACGACTCGCGCACTGTTCTTGAGAAACTGTTCTCCCTATTTCATCAAAAGACAAATACTATCTTATCACACACGTAGTTTTATAGGCGGAGATACTTGTCAAAGTAATATCTTTGGATAAACCTACAACTTCCCGAATTCATCTCATCAAAACTACGGTCTCATGGCTGTTATCCGCCCTATAAGTTATTTTTCCCTCTAGTTTTTCATTGATCTTTACTATACTATCTCTTCGAAACATCCAATTGTCTCTAGCTTTCCAAGCTCACTTTGTTTTTTTCCCTCGTATTTCTTCATACTGAAATTCCCACAATTTTTTTCAATCTTGCAACCCTTTTTTGCTTGGAGAGAAAGCTATCATCTTCACTAGAATCGCACATACTTTACACAAAAATGCTTTACGTTTGCCGTCTGCGATACATGATCGTCGATTTCTCGTTCATTGTCCAATCGTTTCCCTCTTGTGCCGTATGTTTTTATTCGCCGACAGTATGTTACATTATTCCCGACATTTCTTCGGTTCGAGCAACATTAATCAATCGAAGATGAAAAAAGATGCAGTAAGGGAACAGAAAGAAAAAAATGGTGGAAAAAATATGATAAAAAAGAAAAAGTATAAATGAAAGAAGAAGTTTAAGCCTTTCTGCAGACGGTGCGAACAGCGGAGAGAGAGTCTTTTATTCGGACTGGTCAGCGTTTGAAACGCGTCGCGCCACGTTTGACCATCCTGTACGGGCGACTCACGATGACGTGCAAAAGCCCGAGACAACCAAACTCGGGGAGAGGTGCTTGCGAGTGCGAATACGCAGCCAGGTATGCGGCAGTCGCGCTTCGAAAACATTCGATGGATGAAAGCCGAACGCATCACTAAGAGTTATTTTAATCATCTTAAATACCGATTTAATCCTATCGGCTCGTGCTCTATATCAAACGAAAGAAGAAGCCAAACCAGAAGATACGAAATGAGAAAAGATCAAATTCGAAGAATACGTTTGCAGTATGTAAATTTTCATAAAACCAACACGAGGTCAAAACCCAGTACGCAGTGGTATGAATGATTCCAATTCTCATCGTTTCGTTCCTTGAATTCGAAGTACGCGCAGCGCATAGTTCGCGAAATCAGAAAATTTAACGCCACATTCTCGTCGAACGCCTTCGCGAGAAAAAGAAGGAACGGCAGTAATTCAGCGTGGCGGGACGTTGAATTAGTAACAAGTCTACATGCCTTTCGTCGCTGGAAATGGATGTCTGAGACGGATACGCAGGTTACGCGTCCCTGATCTAGGGGGACTTGATATTATACAAAAAAAAAAAGAAAAAGATAGAACAACGGGTAAATGAGGACGGAGGAAGAACGAACGGAAACGTTCAGTACGTAGTTACGCATCGCCACTGAAATCGTTACGAAGAAAGAACGTGAACAAAAGTAGTGAACAAAGAACTTGTGGAGAAATGATATCCCGCGTAAATCTACCGATTTAGAATTCTTTTTTTAGATTTTGGAGATGCGTATGGGAGATCGCGGCGCGTAAACTGCGAATGAGTCTCTGGAGTTATTAACCTTTTGAAAGAAATTTTTTCTTTGCTTACTAAAACTATTCACACTGATTCGTGTCGATTTATACAATTATTGGTCTAAATTATTATTGGTTCGAAATACAATTGAAACGTTTAATCGTATTAAGTAAAAACCTTTCAATGAACACCATCTCCATAAAGCATCGCCCTGTCTGAACACTCGTGATAGAATTGTCACGCGGGACGTTTTCAACGGCATTTTCAACATTGTTTACCCTAGCGTGAAACGGATGGTGCACCGGCATCGAATTCGCGTCATCGTAAAGTTTTCCGGGCAAATTCGTGCGCCGATGCATCGGGATAAAATTTGCGGTCCGCGCCACACCCGCGCAGCTACGTGATGAGAATCCGCGATGAGGTTTAAGGCTCGGGCTGGTGCTCGTTGAGAACTGGCTGCTTAAGAAGCAAAAGAAAAAGAGAGAAAGAAAGAGAGGGGTGGGAGAGAGAAAGGACGGAGGAGCCTGCGGCCACGAGGATGCGGCAGTGTTTAAAATCGAACGGAAATCCAGTTGAATCGCGTCTACCGCCATTGCAGCGGTTGCTAATAATAGAGTAGATACTGGAAGGATAGAAATACGACTTCCTTCGCCACTCTGTACCCTTCTGCGTCCCAAGAATAACGGGCTCGCGTTCGATACCAACGCAACAGCAGAATAAGGGGTCAGGGGCGGCGAACCTAATTCAAACATTCGATACAGCTAACAGCGGGATGGTGAGCCACGCAGTCTCGGTTTCGACTACCGGTTTATTTTCTATTCAACCCGTCGGTGTATTTTTACCGAATCGTTTCACGATTTTTTGTTTATCTCTTTTTCGCTTTTCTGGAAAACAAATTGAAAGTTGGAACAATGTCGAGGTTTCGCGTTTAAAGGGTGCTTGATATGGTTTCACCTGACTCTCGTCGATAGCTCTCGGAAAAATTCGATAACTGTTTGTTAACAGAGTTTGCAGTACGGGTGACAATAGTGATGCGATATGTGCAAACACTGTATTGAATTGACAATAAAACTGATTTTTCCTTCATACTAGTTATTAATACTGTGTATACACCTTTCTATTACACTTTAATTTAATGTTGGAATTACTATCTACATTATCTAGTTTCCCCAGTTGCAATAAGACATAAATAAGGAGTTTCCTTGTAATTTCGTATAAAACTCATGCATTATATCGCAATGATAATTCTCAAGTTATGTGACTATGAAAGCGTATCCTCATGAAAACCTTAAAAGGTGGTTTCATATCAAAGATAGTCGACTTGTTAAGAGTTCGTGCTCCGTATGTAAACTGAAGCAGTCTACTTTCACACAATAGACTTTCAGAGAAATCGTTTTCCAGATTCACTATTCAAGTTCTAAATTTAATGGCTATGCTAAACGCCCGTAAATCAGGTCGAGTGCCTCTTTAATTTTCTGTGACGAACAATTAAAAACATTATACTTCAGCAATAATCTGGTTACAAAATTTCTCTAAACGAGAAGATCGAACTTTGTATTTTACTACGTAGTCAACGCGATTTCACGATACTAACTAGATACTGCTCCTCTTGTAACAAATTGAGTTAGAGAACATTAGCGATCTAGGCAACACGTGTCCATTATCTCGAGCAATAAGTGAACCGGCGACGGTATCGGTCGACCCGGGAAGCGTGTGAACTCGTAAAACCAATGACCTCAACAGTATTGAATCATCGGCGTAATCGACTGTTATTAAATCAAAACTGTTTGAAGTTTTATTTTGGTCTATTAAACACGAAATGGTAAAAACGATACTGCAGACTTTGATGTTCATTAATGAATAGATAACAAGGATGGGTCAATACGATTAAACTGCACATATCGGCTTTTATTTTGATACATGAAAGAGCAAAGAAATAGGTACAGGCTACCGAAAACGATTTCCGATCCGCTTGGCAAGTTGCAAATTTTAAACCCTGACGAACATAGTGACATAATGGCATAAGATGAAATAGAATAATTCGTGTAATAGTATTTGAACTCGATTGCAATGCAAATGAATCCTAAGTAAAATTTGAATTAAAATCACAGTTAAAAGCTTGGTACCTTGCAGTTTATCTTAGGATCTTTGATTTTTCTGAAGCTTGTCACTTTGGTCGACACGAAGAAAAGTTCTTATATTTCAACACGATTCAAATTAAAGTTACGAATCCTAAAAATATGGACAAACCCTTGAGTTAATATATTGCATAATAAGAAGATAGTCCACTCTTTCCATCTAGAAAAAAATAACTTTTGCATGTGTGCATGTCAAGTGGGACGAGAATCATTTTAGACAGCTGCGCATAATTCGAAGATTGAAACTTTAAGACGACGCTTGAAGGCTCCAACTTAGAAATCGATAAACTAAGATATCAATTATGCAAATGTAACGTGACGATCAAAATGCGGGAAAGGCGAGTTCGTTGGCCGATACAAAATTAAAAAGCAAAAGCACGTAACGCTTGATTTATCGACTACATACTCCGAGCTGGCTGAGAAATTTCCTCGGAGAAATTCTCTACGTTTCAATATTTCGACCCTGGTGGATTTCGCATCAACGTATGTATCTTTGTACAACCACTTCCGTAAAGTAGAAATATCGACAGGTAGAGATGTCTATACTATAATGTTTACTTCTTACTTAAATATCCTTCAATTTGTATCTAATGCCTTTCTCTAAAAGCATTATAATAATAATAATACTGTAAATATTAAATTTATAAATCGTATTGAATGCTAATAGACGTTAAAATATTAAATCCTGATACGTCATTACAATATCAACTCTCATAAGTAAATTGAACCGGTCAATTTTTCTTTAAAAGAATTTACCGTATCAAAGGACTGTGATAATACCGGAAAAACACGTAATAGTGAAGCCGCGAGACTGAATATGGGCCAAGAGACCCTCAAACGCATCGAACCACAAGCGGAAGAAAAAGAAAAAGAGAGAGATGGAACAACAAACGTTGTCTCATCGTGTACTCCTCTCCCCGGAGGACTTACCTCTTCTACGAAAGATCTCTGCTGCATATTGGTCCAGCACATTTTGCACTGGCATACGTCCTTTTCTTTGAAATTCTCGGCCCTCTCCCTATCCCGGGTTGCGGTGACCTGAGGCGGCGGGGGCGGCACGGGCGGCGGAAGCGGACTTGTCGCGACCTCGAGGCTGTCTGAGCTAGAGTTATGGCGTCGCGGTGGCGTGATATTAGTTACGTTCGCTTGCGAGACTTGCTTCACCTCAGCCGATCTTCCCACCGAATGATCGTTACCACTGGCAGACGACTTGTGCGATGGTGACAAATAAACATTCAGCATGCACTTGTTCTGCTGCGGCTGTGGCCGCAGGAAATCGTCTAGAAGATAAAAGCTCTGCGCCCGACTGGATCTTGTCGCGCGGGTTTCGCTGCTCCCAAGTACCTGCTGTTCCGCTTTGCAGACCCTCTCGCGGTTCGTCCGAGTTATGCATTCGTCGTCAAACTGGTGTCTAGTTTGAACGTGTCTATCCTCCATCACGTCCCTCTCCGTAGACTCTATACTCTCCTGGTAGAGTTTACGGCTCACCCTCGATCTTCCCGAGGTCTGACCAAATTCGCCATTGTTCTCTCTGTAAATGTCCCGGCTGACGCGAGATACACGCGCGGAATAAGACGTGGGCTGTTGATAACGCGTCGATTTGCAACTCGAGCCACGCACATCCTCTCGGAAGTGTTCGCCCTCAATCATGGAGATGCTCATGTTGTGGGACAACGAATGTTGAACCGCGTGTGAACCGGTACCGGTGGGAGCCCTTAGCAGAGCGCCAAGAGACCGCCACTTCCTGTCCTGCTGTCCTGCCGTCGAGCTCGACGAGACGGACGATCTGTTCCACTTCCTCTCGTTGCCCGGCGACGTCAGGGCGCTGTTGCCCACCGACCATTTCCGGTCGTTCGTGGGCGAGGTCACCGACTGCCACTTTCTTTCATTCGACGGCGACGCCATCGAGGTACTCGACCACTTTCGTTCGGACGAGGTCGTAGCGGTCGTGGTCGACGTCACCATACGATCCGTCGATGAGACGTTTAGCTGATCCTCTCGCTGTCTCGCTTTCCACCAGGAGGACGTAGAAGTGAACAGTATCAGAGCTCCTCTCAACGGGTTTTGATTCTTCGCGGCGGCTCCCCTCGGCGAGTATTCGCGGTCTTTGATCTTCAACGAACAATCCCTGTAATTGGTATCGCATTCACGATCGCTGAACGCCGCCGCGTCTCGGTCCCATAACGCGTTCTTTTGCGCGGCCAACTCCTCCTCGTAGTGTAACGTGGCGTTCGTGCTACGCAGTCGCGGCCGAATCTTAACGAAACCGTAATCGTTGCTATCTTGAACGGCCTCCAAAGCCTCGATGCGGTTCTGCACGGTCCCGGTAGACGGTTGCAGCAGAGACGACTGGCCGGACGAGTATTGATGATGACTGTTGCTCAGCTGCAGGCTCGGTTGCTGCAACAGAGTCGAGGTCCTTGCCCGATGTCCCTCGCTGGTGGTGCCGCGTTGCAAACAAGAGAAGCTCGCCGAGTGTCGCAGACTCGAGGGTGGATTTCCCGGTTGACTCACTCCCAGCATCTTGCCCGCCTCTTTGATATCTCTCAGTCTTTTTGATCTCGAATAGTAGAGAAAGCGATCGAGTTTTGCTCGGAAACAGGAGCGATCCCTTTGTTTTTGTTCCCTATTTGGTTTCCTTTTTATTTATTTTTTTCGTCGATGGATGAGATTTGGGACGGAATAATGCTTCTAGCTGAGTGTCATTACTCTGGCAGTGATAACTCTCGGTCTCGACTGGGTTCCGCTTTTCTCAGAAAACAAACACAATGAAACTGTCTCGCCTCGAGGTGCAGACTTCTCGTATCGCGCGTTCGTACACATCCTCTCGATACGATTCTCGTGAAGCGGCAGCCGAATAGGGAACTACATCCTCATCGGTCCCGGTGCCTTTCGTACCGTACAACGACGATTCGATCAACGAAATCTGAAACAGAAAGTAGGAACAGGATAGGGGGCAGCAACTTAAAAGAAAAAACGGCTAGAACCAATTGAAGCGTCGGGAAGCAACGGCCGTGAAAGATGAAATGATCAGCGACGAAGGAGAAAATCGGGATCGATGGTTCTTCCTTTGTGAGATACATATGAATGGTCGGGCGCGACAGATACTCTCTCGTGCGGCTCCCAGAAAGAACCGGAGGAGAGGAAAAAGAGAGAGTAACAGAGAGTGTGCGAAAGAAAGAGAGCGCAGAGAGGAGACGCGAGGCAACTTGCCGGAGATCGGTGAAGGATGAAGGTCGCTCTGTGGCCGGTGCCTAAGGCTAAGCATCGGCAGGTCTACTGAATCTATCTTCGAAAGTCTAATTTACTTTTAACGTCAAAAGAAATATTTACAATTGTTAAAAGATGAGTCTTTTATTCCAAGAAAATTGTAATTCTAGGTGAAACGAATCTTTCATTAAATTAAAAACTGAGTATTTCGAAGATCTACATATCGATAGATATTAACAATTCAAAGTGTACATATGTGCAGATGTAATGAACCGACACGACGCGACAATGGCAAAAATGAGTGACAACATCATAATAGAGTTCACAACAAAATACTGATGCAGCTGCGTTAAAAAGAAGCACTGGGTATAAAAGAACACAAAAGCACCAAATCTGTGAACAATTACTGAGGTAACAGGGAATGACTCGGCTAGAGAATCATCAGAGGTATCTACGAAGGTTGGTGTGCGTAATGTAAATTGATTCATAATATTTAACTACACATATAATAGTTTCCTATTTACCAAGGTCTGGACCATAATTAACGAGAATAATCATTCAAGGTTAGTGTCCGACAACTCTACAGGTCTGACGTGCTATGTATTTAACCCTTTGTCTTGTAATTTTATTTATCAATTAAAGATGCACTGACTGAATTAATACAGAATCGTATAAATTGCACTAACCCCAAGGAAAGTAAAATCTTATATTTCATCATAATTTGAATCATGACATGACTTAAAGTGAACGTTACAAGACAAAGAGTTAATACATTGACCTGAACTTTATAAAAATACAATAAATTTTATAAAAACCAGATAAGACGCTATTTAAAAATTTCACATGTATTTTATAATTAAACGACACTGAAAGGTGAAACAACAATTTTTCGGTGATTGAACACTACGATGTATCTCAAGTGATTAATGACATCAGTGCTAATGATTATTCAATTTTCTTACGTCATGGGCTAAATAATAAGTCACACCCATGGGTGCTAAGAACTAGTGGGACAAGGTAATAGATCAATAAGGTACCGCATATGAATTTTGGCACGTTGTTCAAGGCCGCTTGAAAATCAGTTTCGAAGAAAAAGAATGGATTCCATAAGACAGGTTTTTGGCCTTAAAAATTGGCGAAAGTTCTATTAACGTAATTATGAGGAATTGTTACTTTAGAACGTTTGTCTTATAAGGTTTTCAGAATATTTTTGACATTTTACTAACTCTGAGATTTATGTCTTCTTTGTATACACAGTTAGTAGTGTCCTCCATTATTTTAACTGAAAATTCTCTGAGTTATTGTTTACTTTTTCACTCACTATACAATAATTTCCAACACTTAAATAAAAATCTCAAATTCCTTAGGACCAAAAACCTGCCTTATGGTGACCAAGCTTTCGTAAAAATATGTTGCAATTACCAAGTGAACAAATTACTCCCAAAAAATATAATTATCCATTTCCTGGTACTTGGTAGTTGTATGACATTTACATATAACTATGGGAAAGTATTTGAATTGTCTTTACGTAAGTACGAATCGATCCCTAAATTTTCACTGATAGTGCAATTACATCGCGGTTTGGCTCGCACAGAATGATTGCAATGTCGAGCAACGAAATGGAATTCGTTTACCGTTGGATACATGGAACATGTTATACAGCTCTAAGATTTCTCTGACTTTATAGCAACGGCACGCGGCTGTCTACCGCGCGTCTATGTAGGTGCAAAACAGTGAAAGGTTTTTCAAGGCAGGAAAGTAAGTGACACCTACACGCACAGCCCGCCCGTTACCGATGTAAAAAGGCAAGGCCGTTCGCGCACAGAAAAGTTCACTGCATTATTGCGAAACCGATCGTCCGTTGCGGCAACAATGACGCCTAATAGGATAAACGATGATTCCCGACGGTAACTCATTTTCATTTCCCATCACGCGCCCAATTAAATGTCGATAATATTGTACGTATGTAAGTAGTTCTCGTCTACATTATTAATAGACATTCGACGCACAGTTACAATACCGATGATAAGTTTAAATTTAAGTTAGTAACGCGTGAGAAACGATGCTACACGCAACCTTATACAAGTTCATTCGCGTAAGTTACATTCCGTAAATATAATATGTCATAATTTAATTACAATATATATTGTTGAAATTTAACAATTCTTTAAAACTTTCAAAACTAATTGGTATACTAAGTGCCAGAAGTCTATATATATATGTAGTACATATTACAAATGTATATTGTTTATACATATTTATGATGCAGTTTCTGATCCGTATTAGATATTGCAATACCTAAATTCTCTCGCATTCTGCAGTTTCAACATTCAAAGACAATCTCTCCGACCTTGCACTATTATATTAAAGCGACGTAGAGTTGTATGATACCTTATTAATAGACTACGGATTTTTATGCAAAATGAAACATTCATGGTATCAGTTAACGTAATATTTTATATATTTTTATATACCGCAAGCACGCTTTAAATCTTCTGCAGATAATTTTTCTATAAATGTACAAATTCTCATCAAAGATCAACTGCAACCAAAATGCGTGGCGAACATAAAGAGAGACAGACCAGAGAGTTTCCTCCGATATATGATTTTATACGACAATCGAATCGAACGCACGACTTTCAGCGGTTTAATTCCGACATCCGCTACCTTCGAGACCGCATTTCGCTTGCAATTCTAATGCAGTCATTAAACCGGCATCGTTTAAATGGAAAAACGTCCGACCCTTCCTCTTCCCTCGCGGCACTCGAAAAATCCGCGCTCTCTCACGGAGTTACCTGTGCAAAACGTAGGCACTACTACGCCAGCGTGCCATACGGTGGCGTTTAATTAATCCCGTCGACGACTTGACCGAATTTCTTCGCCCGCCGCGCGATGCGGATCATCCTAGAAACCGCAGAATCGTATAGCATTCAGTGCGTGAAAGAGAACCAGGCGGCTGTGTAATAATGCGTCGACGAACCGTCGCGTCGTTATGCCTTGTTCTCAAAACAGCCTGTCGAAAACGACCCATCGACGTCGAAAAAAAATTAGAAAAAGGGAGGCAAAAATTGAACAGGAAAATCGAACGATGGATGTATGTTCTATATACGTACGAAATTTATGTACCGGTATTATGGAAAGTCAATCAAACTGGACTACTTATACGACGAATAAGCAGTTACTTTATCAATGAATATGATATAATAAAAAACTGTACCAACCACCGGAACGTGAAACAAAATAATAATCGCGCAACGGGATGCAGATGTAACCGTGTTACATTCGCGGTCTGGATATATCCCGTCAACCTGGTTAATATAATTGGTCAAAAACTACGGCCGTGACTAATTGCGCACAGCCGAATGTGTGCGCAGGCGTATAAGCGACACAGAAGACTCTCTCGTTCGCTCGACCGCTTCTCGTCGCTTGCTTGTTCAAGACTCCGCGGTTACGAAAGAAATTTGAAAGCTCCATATCCGCGGTGAAACTGATTAATTTTGAAAACTGACGGGTTATGCGAACGTTGCACTTCGAGTTACACCAGGTGTAATGTGTGGCAATATTTTATTTTCCTCTGAAAAATTATTGTTCCTCAGATAAAATTATATACTGAACATTTACAATATATATTACAAAATTCAATTAACTTAAAGTGTCGAATTATATTTCCATTCTAAATGAGCGAACACGCGTTTCACTCGATAATTAGAAACAGAGTTTCACGATGCTCATGTAAGAGAGGAAACACAACCGTCTTAACTTAATTTCATCAGCTGAGATCGTATCATAGAATTTAAATTTCTGCTCCAGTCTTCTACGTTTTTCGATTCCACTAAGACTATAAACTTCATTTTATACTTTAAAATATGTACTTTAAACTTTAAGCAAAATGCCTTCTATGTTTCTAACGTCCGAAATCAGAGTATTTCATCATGTCCGTTTTGGTCGTACTTTTTTCTACGACTTATTTATACGTTCGTGAAATATCCTAACGACAAGCTTGCGTAATAAATCTAAAAGATAACGATAATTATGTATCCCGGCAATAAAAGGCCACGTCGCAGTTGTACTTTCGTTTCGAGCAAATCACCACGCGAAGGATTTCCAACGCGTCGACCCATGTCCCGAGGAAAGCGGATCGTTAGACGAGCACGCAAAAACCGAGCGATTCCATGCTCGTCGGTAATATCTATATACATATCTACTTGGATATAGATATACCTAGATATATTTTTCTCCCTTTTCGTAATAAAACGTTCACGTCGATCGACTAAAACCGGCATGTCAGGAGCCAAGAGACCGGTCGTGCCATGCGAGCATCCCGGCGTATTACACGCTCGGATTCGACTGGAAATTCGCGAAGGATAATTAGTAACCGGAGGTAATTAGAAAAGGATAAATAGTGCGGCGAGCAGAACGATCGCGAGACAGCGCAATGGTTTCGCGGACTTGGGGAAAGCGGCTGGGAAGGGTGAAATTATGTACAAACGGGTGGACGTTTACGAAAGAGGTTGAGTTAGAGGCAGAAACGTCTCTTGTTGGGACAGAAGTTGCCATCTCGGTCACGCGACGCGAAAATTCGCAGAACTCGCTGATTGATCGTGTCAAACGCGTTTCGTCATCACAGACACAGAAAAGATACTTAGATTTTCATTCATAAAAATAGATGTTTTCAAGTTATTTTTATTTACAGCATATAATAGCACATTGCAACAG